CACCAAAACATTTATTTAAATCACACTGTAAGCAATATAAAAGCAGCACACATATATGCACACACACACACACACACATTTTCCCATGGGTGACAACCAACACCTTGAATGACACCCTACCAATATCCCCTGCAGCTCATACGATGTGGGCAGCGTTACATGGAGTACCAAGATACAGAGGCCTACTATAGCTTCCAAGCATTCCTCAAGAGCCAGTCCATGACTACATTGCAGTAATATCAGGTAATTCTTGACTTATGATTTAGAAATCATTCAAAGTTATTATAGAATCATGCATTCATTCTTAAGAGTTCTTTCAAAGCTTATTTGTACAGTGGACGTTGTATTTGGCTCATCCTGTAAACAAAACGATTTTTGCATGTGGAAAACTGAATATTCAATCTGTAATGCGCTCCATACTGCAGTTATTCGTTGAGTCATCACATGACTGCAAATTTTACTACCATTTTGTCACAGTGGTTAAGCAAATCATATGGTTGTTAAGTGAGTCCAGTTTCCTCCATTTACTTTGTTAAAAGCTGGCTGAAAGGCTCACAAACAGTATTCACATGGCCCTGTGATGCTGTAACCATCTTAAGCAAATGCCCAAATGATAACCATGTGACTCTGGATATATTGCAATGATTTTAAGTGCGAGGACTGGCTGTAAGTGATTTTTTTCAGTGCTGAAAGAATAGGCAAGATTGGCATGCTCCACTCCTTTCTATTAAATAGTGGGAGGCAGAAAGTATACATCTCTGTCTCTGAGACTGCTCAGTATCCCCGAGATCTGGGTGGCTCTGCCCTTGGCCACTGAGCCAGGATGCTGCATGAGCCATTAGTATGTGTTAATATGCATGAAATGAATTTTCACCCAAGCGCTATAGGTGTTTATATACAGTTTTATTGTTATTGCTGGGGTGGTGGGGTTGCATTGTGGGTTTTTTTGTGTTTTTATTATTTCCAACGGTTAGCCACCCAAGAATTGCTTGGTCAGTAGGCAGCCAAGCAAATTAATTTATTAATTAAGACCTTTCAGATAGATCTCTTGCTCTGCTTTCCACCTATCAATCAGAAACTGGCTGGTCTGTTCTATGAGTCCTCACACTTTTTTTCTTTATTTTAAGGCAGAGACATTTGTTCTTCTCCAATGTTCTTGCTTTTCACCACCTTCCCAGTTTTTCAAAGACAGTAGATACAGGTTTTGGCATACGTAGCTTTTTCAGTGTTCTAGGATAAAAATTTTTCTGGGCCTGAACATTTAAAGCCAATGTAAGGAGGTATTGTATCAGGGGTCTTCAAACCTGGCCCTTTTATGACTTGTGGGCTTCAACTCCCAGAATTCCTCAGCCAGCATGCCTGGCTGAGGAATTCTGGGAGTTGAAGTCCACAAGTCATAAAAAGGCCAGGTTTGAAGACCCCTGAATTATATGATCAAGTGTCTTTTAAACTTCCATCCTGCACTTTCATTCTGTTCTTCATAATTTCCTATTGAACACATACTTTCTTTTGGAAAAGACTGAACCAAAATAGGAGATGAGTAGATCTGACTTTTCTTTAATGCCTACTAGCAATTTGCTATCTTTACTGAACAAAAGGTTGATGAGCCGAGGTGGCGCAGCAGTTAGAGTGCAGTACTGCAAGCCACTTTAGCTGACTGTGTTCAACAGGTCAGCGGTTCAAATCTCACCGGCTCAAGGTTGACTCAGCCTTCCATCCTTCCGAGGTAGATAAACTGAGGACCCAGATTGTTGGGGGCAATGTAAATATATACATACATTGCTTACTGGTGTACACCGCTTAGAGAGTGCTTGCACTTAAAGCGGTATATAAGTCTCATAAGTAAATAAATAAATAAATAAATTCTTTTGCTTTAATTTTGATGAAAGCTAAAGATGTCTGTGTTGTTATTCTTACTCAATTTGCCAAACTTTGGTCATTCTAAACATCACCATTTCTGATAGCCTCTCTACAGTTTAGCTACCTATATGTAGTCTTCAATGGGCCGAGGTGGCAGTGGTTAGAATGCAGTACTGCAAGCTAACTCTGCCCACAGCCAGGAGTTCCGTCCTGACTGGCTCAAGATTGACTCAGCCTTCCATCCTTCTGAGGTTGGTAAAATAAGGAGCCAAATTGTTGGGGGAATATGCTGACTCTGTAAACTGCTTAGAGAGGGCTGTAAAGCACTATGAAGCAGTATATAAGTGCTATTGCTACTGGTCTCCTGGTCTCTTTTTCCAATTTTCTTCCCATTACTACAACTCGATTGATATTGAGAAAGACTTATTCCAATTAAAATGAAGCCATTTCTTCCTGAAGATACAATATAAAACTAAGTATAATAAATATAAATCTAGTCCCATGTAAAATCATAGCAGAGCATTTAAGTTTTACATAGAAATTTTGTCACAGAAGAGCACATCTGCCACATGTGCAGACTATTGTAAGTGCCCTGAATTGTGCAAATAACATGGGGATGCAACTGTAATAATAATCCATTATTTAGATTTTAATCAATTTAGGAACCAAACTTCCATTGCCATTCTTATGTTTCTATAGCAAATTTGGCCCCTGTGTGAATATTAGTGAGAGGCTGAAGTTTGGAGATTTTTTTGGAGGTTTTGTTCTGTTGTATACTAATTGAATAATGTATTCTTGATTGTCCTCCTTAAAGAGGCATGTCCAGGATCTTTTGATGGATTTTATACTGTTGGCGTTTGTTTTATTATTTTTCTAACTTCAATGCAAACCCTCTGATGCATTTGGTTACAAATATTTTTATTATTATATTGAGCTACATAAAAAATTACATAAGTGGAGTCGTGCTACCCATTGGAACATTCCTTTTCATGTTTACCGCCCTCCCCTCACATCTTTTCTAAACCCCAAAGTGAATGGGGGAAGGGGGTGGAGTAGTATGGAGAAAGGGAGAAGGAGGAATCTGATGTACTTGGTGGTTGCCATGTCACCAAAGGAAGGGCAAAAAGTGAGGAATCTAGCAGCATCTTTTCCAACTAGCATATGTTATTAAAAGGCACAAGATGGAGCTCACTTCTTCAGATAGGATGCATTCTACTGCATTTCTATATAGCTTTGTTCATCCTTTTGTAATCTGCCCTAAAACCTGTGGGTGAAGGTCTATTCAGTAATTCTTTTAAATACAAATAATTTAGACTGCAGTCTTGTTTAGTTAAGTGGGTTTAATTCTAAATAGTTCTGCATAGGATTGTACTTCAAAATAATTGTTTTCTTTATGTCAAACCTTCTGGAGGTTTTACTGAGATACTGCATAAAACCTTGGAATGCTTTCTAAGTAATAGCATCCTGTCACACAAAAGGCCAAGGCTCTCTTTTCAGAGCACTCTTTTCAGGATTAAGCCTAATCCTTTAATTCCTATAATTGGGTCTAGATATCATAAGGACTTGGATTTTTAGGAAATATTAGAATTATATATAGAACACTTGAATTTCTCCAAATTCTAATTTTAGTTCAGAAATTTTAAAAAAGATAAGAGCGTTTATGTTTTTATGGAAATCCTTTATCTTCTGGAAGCAAGGGAACACTGTTGCAGGGTCTCTCTACTTTTCCATTTCACTTTGTAGATTAGCCTAACATGGATAAAGTATGTGAAAAGTCTTCATATTTTTTATTAGACCATCAGAACTGCTGCAGTCCTCTAAACTTCAACATTAGATACAGACAGCAGCAAAAGCTGACTTAAGAGTAATGCATGAGGGACAATTAACTATACACTGAGTTCAGTGTCAATCTTCTTTTTAAATGCTGTCCTACCAAAGTCTGCACATGTTAAATCAGGGTTTACAACTGCAATTGAGTGTTCACACAACATATTAAACAAAAAGAAATCATATTTGTCTTATTATTTTTTTAAGAGCTTTTTAAAGATCCCATTGATGGTGGAAACAGTTTGAGCACCAGTGGTGAGAACATGAGCTGACTAATTCAGATTACATTGAAATTATATAGTTCTTATGAGCACTCAGTAGAAATGAACAGTGAGTGAAACTAACTGGATTTCTCCTTACTGCTTTAAACTGTTTTTAAGGGTTGTGTGAGTACTCTTCACACTAACAGAAGGATTTGAATAGTGCTGCACCATCATTCAAAGTCTGGATTTAGAATGTAGTTGTAAGGTCTGAATGTAATTCTTGATTCATTTGCTATTTGAGGCATACTAGTTGCAGTTGCACAGCAACAAGTCCTATTTTGCCAGATATAAAACATTTACATGCCAGTATTTCTAATTCTTCACAAGAGTGAGATTAAGCTTCCCAAATTACAAAACTCTGAAGCTGGCACAACTCTTTAACTGTGCAATATTACAAGGCAGTGATTAATATAGAGCAAAATAATAAATGCTAATAGAATGGGAATGAAAACCAAGGCATCCTTATTTCAGAATAAGTCCCAATGAATCCAGCTTTCCAGTTGACATATATATTCATTATTCCCTGAAATTATGAACCTTTTACATTTCAAGGTAACCATTAGTGTTACTCAAATGTCTATGTTAGACTTTTTTTTTAAAGAGGATTTTGGGCCAATTATTCTCTCAGCCCTATGAAGAAGACAATGGCAAACCACTTCCTAAATCTTGTCAAGACAGCTGCAAAGACTTGTTCAGGCATTTGCCAGGAGTCAACACTGACTCAAAGGCACACACACAGACATTTTTTTGTTATTGCTGAAATTCTGGAATTAGGGTAAAGGTTATCTTGACCTGTAGTTTTTGAGTTCAGACTTTCAACTTTGCTGTCAAAAGCCGTCAGCCCAGGGGCAGGAAAATGTTGCATTCCAAACATCTAACATGTAACCATTACAAATATATTTTCCTACACTCATTTGTATTTTTTCTTCTCTGTATGGAAAGACTCCTATCCTACCCTTTTAATTTGGAATTAAATTTCTGAGTCTCTTTCCTTGTCACATACTACAGTTCCCCTAACAAAGGAGTTTGCACAGAAATGCACAAATAAAAATAAAGCACAATCAATGCCACATTTTAACATTTGAGAAAGGAAGTGCATTTATTCATCTTCTTGTGTTGCCCAATAAATGGCATCTGTTCTCTCATGTAGTATACGTACTTAATCGTTTGGCAGCAACAACCTTTCAGAACAGCTTCACATTCCAGATCTGCGCCCGTTATAAGGATATTACTGGAGATCACACGGCTTCAGCCAAGCTCTGGAGTTCCGTCAAGAGTGGGTGGTGGCTTCTATTCATCCCTGCATTTCGCTCTCCTGCCGCAAGGGTATTTCGAGGGAAGGAGAGCTCTGCGTTTTAGTTTCAGCCCTTGGTGTGGCGCTAATCAGAAGTTTTACTTCAAATACTCAAAACTGTTTGCGGCGGCGCGGATTTCTCCTTCAGGAATTTTAGGTTATTGGCTTTCTTTCATTATTGGCATGGCATTACCCTGCCAATAGACTGCGTTGGGAAAAAAACAACAACAAGGCGTTTTGCTAACGTCCGTATTCAACCCGTTTCTCCAAACCAAAGTGAACAAAGAATGGACTTATCCGATGACACTCGGAGCAAAAAAAAAAAACCTAAGCAGAAAATGGTTGCTCTTTTTTCAGCCCCCGCCATTGCTCGCACACCAAGAAGAAACTCTAAAGGCAGGCGAACTGTTTATTCTCCTCTCCTACTACGGTATCTTGAGCCTTTTTCGGTGGCACTATTGACTCTAGTTTTCAGTAGTTTCGGATGATGGTTTATCTTATCAAAGACACTTAAGAGCGGCCCGTTTCCTATCGAGTGGCTACTGTTTGCCCCTGAAGTTAATGTAAAACTTGCTTCATCGTCGCCCACCCAGAAATTCACTTTGCCATTGCTGCTCCAGCCGCTGCCCCTTCCAGTCCAGTAACCCACCCCCCTTTTGTGTCGCAGGGGGTTCGCGCTCCGCTTTAGTGCACACGCACACATGGATCCCGGTCCCGGCTCGCCGCTCGCGCGCCCGCAGACAGAACGGCCCGGGCCCTGCCTGCGGAACGTGGTACTGCTACCCTTGGCGCACACCACGAATCGGAGAGCGCGCCGACTGACTGGCTACCCCGAGGAATGCGCGGTATGCAAGAGGCAGAAGCAACCATTCGACGGGACGGGGAGGGGGGACGGGATCGGCCCATGTCTGCCGCGGCCGCAGAAGCACGCGCGTTTCGAACAGTCGTGCGCGGTCTGGAGGAAAAAAGCCCTTGGCGGTGTGTGCCTAGACGCCGAGTAGCCGCCGCCGCGTGGGAGCGGCTCGGTGTCTTCCGATTTAGTTGTTTCGACTCCCCCCTCCTCTGCTCGGTTGCGCGCTCTCTGTATGTTTTTCCTCTCTTTCTCTCCCTCTCGCTGGGCGGTGGTTGAGGCCGCTGGTAGTTAGGATCGATTCTGCTGTTGCTGAAGTCGCCGCGGCGGCGAGCAGCGGCGGCGGCAGTATTGGATAGATCAATGAAGGGGCATTTATGGCAGGCTGGCCAGCTGAAGCTGTAGGCTCAGCGCGGCTTCGCTGCCGTCGGTGATCCCAGGAGAGGGAAGGACGACGACGGGCGCGTTGCATGAGAGACTCAGCCCGGGAAGAGGGGGGTGGAGGCAGAGCAGGCGGAGGCGGCGAGCCAGCAGCCAGCTGCAAGAGCAGAGACCCGTCCCAGCAGCCGGGGAGAGAGAGGCGTTTTCCAGCGGTCGCCTCCCTGAATCGCGCCCCAGCCAAGTTGCTTCCCGTCCGCAGGGGAAGTTCGGGCTTAGGCTGGGCAATGATTTTCCCCAATAGTAGCAGCAACTCTGCGGGCGGCAGCCGGACTCCATATAGGAAACAGGTAAAAAAGGAGAAAGGAGGAGGAATCAAGTTGCAGTTTCTGTGGGGCGGGGGGCAGGTTTGCTCGTAGGGAGGGGCGCGGAGGAAGAAGGAGGGGTGGGGGCTTAATTGTAGTTGAGGCTCGCTCTTGAGGATCTAGTGAATTGAGCGCTCTTTTTTTGTGTGTGAGCTTTGCTGTCTTTCCCTCTTTCCTTCTTGCCTTTTCTTCCTCTAAGATTGTATCACGCGGATTCCGACTTAAAAAAAGAAATAACGCCGCCTCTTTGTGTTCCGGCAGGAGATTCCAGACAGGGCAACATACAAGTCTTGCAGAAAGAGATGTTGTTTCAGGGTAGGGAAGCTCTCGATCGAGTAATAAAGCCTCTTCCTCTCAGTTGCTTTCAGGGAAAAAGAGTGTACGAGCAAACGTCTTAGAAAACGAAAGTTTCAGCCCAGTAGTGTCTTATTTGTGTAGAAATAGTGCAGAGGGAGAGACGTACCCCAAGTAAAAAAGAGCTTTTTCTTTGGAAAAAAAAGGAGAAAATTAAACACGCTAAAAAACATTATACTATGGGGAGGATGTGGACACCGTGCCAAGGCGCGGGTTTCTCTTAAGTTAAAATTAATTTGTAATAAGACACCTCTTTATGTAATTCTCAGAAATGTGTAATTGAAATTGCATACAATAGTGCCTTTTATCCATTTGTTATCTGTGTTGAAGAAATGGTTAAAATGGCTTACACAAAATTACTGTTGCTTTATTTGTTTCCCCTTCCTTTCCAGACTGCAAGAAAATTGGATTCTAAGAAATATGACGAGTTTCAGTCTGACATGTTGATTTAATTCTGCCCTAAACAGAGACATTCTAGTAGACTGTGCTTCTAGAAATGGTTATGTCAATATCCTGTTCTTTAAAAAAAAAAAAAAAAGTGGTTAGAGAAAGGATGTCTAGCTGTCTTCCAAACTGTGCTTTATTCATATAAAACAGATCTCTGTCATTCCATTTTAATTTTGCCTCTTCATAAATCTATTTTTCTCTTCTGGGTATGCACATGCATTTAGAAACAATATCTTTGTTTACCGTGAATAGCAAGAAATTTGATGAACAAAAATTAATCAGTGTCTTTAGAACTGGACTTTCTACCACTAGAGCTGTGATCCTGATTACTTCAGTGAGATTACCCTGAGACAGAATACTCTTTTATTTTAATTTAATTATGTATAAGTGTAGGGGTTGTTAATGATGTTGCTAAAGGTTTCGTGGAATATTAGTTTAATCTTTTAACGTTTCTCATTTTGTACATAGCCTGATATTAACAATTTCATAAAACGTTTTGAAGTACGGACAGATTTCTAGCATATTTTATAGTATTATGTTCTGGTTTTAAATTAATTGATGGATTGATTTAATTAGGAGGAGCTCTTGCTTCTAAAGAAAAAAATAGACTACATAAATAATACAGTAGTGATCACGGTTTTCCACTACTTTTTTTTTTGCAAGAACAATGTAAACAAGCATTTGAGGGAAGTCTTGAAGTCCGAGAAGTACACCAAGTCTTTTAAAAAGTTCTGTTGTTCATTGATCCATCAAATGATAAGGTAGCGATGAAGGTGAAGCTGCTGGAAGAGAAAAGAGGATGAACCTTTTACTGGAAAGCTATACGTTTTGCATGCGGATGCTAATCAGATAGTGGACTGGAACACACTGATAAGGATAAGATGCTCTTCTTTCACAGTCCACTCCTTGATTTCAAAGAGCTAAAAGGGTTGAATGAATCAGAAAAACAAACAGACTTCCTTTTCAATGGGGAGAGGGAGAAAATGAATATAGGCCTAAGACCCTGGGTACTAAAGGTTTGTTTCATCGGGAATCCAGCCTTTCTTTAGTGAAACACTTCCTACTTAAGCAGGGGAAGGCTGAGTGTGCAGGCATTCTAGCTTGTATAAGCTCCTGTTGATTTTAATTGGGGCAGACTTTGGCCCATTGTCATTCAAAACATGCTTCTTTATTTCTCATTCTTGCTGAAGTCTTTATCACTTCTTGTCATAAGAAGATCTTGGGAGATTTGGAGGAGCTACTAGCAAATATAAAAAAAAATCTAATTCTACTGTGCAAATAATGCTACTGTACTACTTTTTTTTACAATCATGGGGATGAATTTATTTTTCAGTAATGATGTTTTTCTACAAGTTATTTAAGTTTTTTAAAAAAAACATTGAAATGAACGACTTCTGTTCTTGCAGTGCTAAATTCCTTTTTAAGTCACCCTTTATTGCTTTGAGCCAGGCCATAATTAAGGAAAGGTTTTTTTTTTCATATTTATAGATGCAAAAATGAATCTTAGTTTTCAAGAATACCATAAGCTTCTATGCGACTTTTTTTGACCACATTGGTAATTTATAATCCTATAAAATGTTCACTCAAAAGTAAATCCAACTGACTGGTGACTTAAGCATGGAAAAGGATAAGGAATTGTCCAAAGTAATAATTTGGGGCACTAAACAAAACAAAACAAAAATATATTCTATTAGATGGAAATTACTTTGTACAGATAGTCCTCAACTTGTCACCACAATTGAGCCCGACATTTCTGTTAATAAGCGAGACATTTCTTAAGTGAGTTTTGCTCCATTTTACGACTGTTCTTGCCACATTTGTTAAGTGAATCACTGCAGTTGTTAAGTTAGTAACACGGTTGTTAAGTGAATTTGACCTCCCCATTGACTTTGCTTCTCAGAAGGTCACAAAAGGTGATCACATGACCCCAGAACACTACAATAGTCATAAATACGAGTGTTGCCAAGTATCTGAATTTTGATCACATGACCATGGGGATGCTGCAATGGTTGTAAGTGTGAAAAACAATCATTACTCACCGTTTTTCACTCTGCTGTAACTTCGAATAGTTACTAAATGAACTCTGTTGTAAGTCGAGGACTACCAGGAATTTGTTTCTGTTCAGTCTTTGCAAAAATGTCTGTTTTTTCCACATAAGTAGAAACATAATGCTATTTGAACAACATGTTGATTTTATTAAGCAATACGTAATTACACTACGGTACTTTGAATAGACCTGCCATGCTTCTTTCTGTGCTTGTACTCAGTTGTAGGAGCACGTCACACAAATCCCTTTGTTTTTTGTCATGTTGGAAAGAAGAAGATGGTGTCAATTTTTCTTGTACTCCATAATGTTATAGTAAGGAGTGCACACAGATCTTTGAAATCATCTGTTGGAACAGGATTTTCCTATATGATGAAAACAATAGAGCATACTGAACTATTTCTGTTAATAGTTTACTTGCTTTATGTAAATTAAAACTCTTTTGAGACATTTGAAAAAAGGATTTTTGAACAGGAGATGCAAATAATCGGGGGGCGGAGCAAATAGTTTTACCTATGGGAAATGTTAAATATATGTGCATATAGAGATCTGATATAGATCTGAATTTGAATTGCAGAGTCAAAACTATACTGATTTAATTCTGAAAATAAGATTTGCTTCCATTCTGAATGCAACTGTTGTAAAATTAATAGAGAAACGTAATTAAGGATTTTTGAGTTCAGGTTATTATTAATATTGGAGCTTAATTTTTTTCAAATGAAAGTTGATGAGATCTTGTTTATTTTATTAGTTGTCCATAAATGTTGGTTTGAGAAGAGTTGCTATCTTGTTTTGTTGAGTATTATTTCACTCCAAGTATAAGCCATTCTTGTTGCTTGTTGTTACATTATGAGAAGTATAATATTTACTTCACAAATATAAGTAGTGTGCTGCTTTCAAGAAGATTAATTAGGCATAACTCCTATGAAAAATTTTACATTGATTCAGTGGTTGGCCCATGGTGGTTGATCTTGTTATGCATAGCAGGACTTGCATGATACATAAATACATTGTATAACACATTCTAAGATGTGCTAAAATGTTTAAAACTGATAAAATCATCCCAAAGAGATAAACATCTATTTTGGTAGTCCAAATTATAACTCCACTCTCTGCATTCCTCACTGGTATAAAGTTCATTTATCATTGTTGAAAGAAAGACAGAGATTTAAGAAAATAGAGATGTTGTTAATTTCTTTGTTTAATAAAATCATTTTTAAGAAAGGTCAGATTGTTTTGAGAATTTGCACAGTAACGTTTACAAAAAGAAGAACCACACTCTTACAGTTTAATTTTATTCAGAGAATATTTGGGGACTGGAATTAACATTTTAGAATTACAAGCCCACGCATTTTACGGATTAACAATTTAGTCATCAATCCACAATCATTCACTGAGGAATAATCCTATTAAAAATGGGAGAGAGGAATCCTTCCATCAGTTTCTTAAACAGGATGTAATCTCAGTAGAGAATACCAATTAGTGTTGTAATCATAGAGGCATTTCTCTTGCTGTTCCTGAACATGAATTTCTTGAACTGGAAACAGGCTGGTTGTAGTTTTCAGATGTGTGGCTGCATTGAATTATGGGCATCATTATGTACCTATGATTTTCAGTGAGATTAGATTTGTTTCTTGCCTTTCCTCTAGGAATTCGAAGCGATGCCCATAATATTCCTGCATTCAACAGCCCTGTGGGGGAGGCTGACGTGGCCCTTTTCTGAGCTTCCATGTATAGGCTTATATATACAGCTTATATATGGTATATATAGGCTTCGATATGAATTGCCTTGAACCCAGTGTCTCTTCATAGAGCTGTTCATTGATTATAGTAGCAGTTAGCAATTTTCTGTTTCACCCGAGCAAAAGTACCCCAGCCCCAGGGACAGGCAACACTTTTAGAGGGAGATGAGGGAATTAAGGTCATGGTTTGCTTGTTCCACTGAGGAAAATCATCACTGAATGAAGGATTATTTCTGTAATCAAATGACTGAAATTCAAGTATTATATCTAACTAGTTAAATTTACAGGAAGGCTTACTGCAAGCCCTGGTGCTTTTCCTCGGGCAGAAATAAGTCCCATTAAATTTATAGGATGTGCTTCCAAGAAAGTTGCTTAGGATTTACAATCTAAACCATTGT